CAGCTCTATTGAGCCACATATCCCCATAAACTTAAGTAGCAATGACTTCATGAGCTTCTTCTATAATAAAATTATTACTATTACAGAAAAAATTAATCACCAACTGCCATCAACAGTTACCAGTGACTCTCCAAGTTCAGAGACTTCTGTCAATGTAAACTTAGATATATATTTAGACTGTTTTTCTGCTATCGATCTTCATCAGTTAACTTCAATCATTTCTTCATCGAAGCCATCAACCTATCTATTAGACCCGATCCCAACTAGGCTGCTTAAAGAAGTTGTTCCCTTAATTAGCACTTCTTTACTGGATTAATCTTTCTTTATTATCAGGATATGTACCACAGTCCTTTAAAGTAGCTGTAATTAAACCCCTTCTTAAAAAGTCCACTCTTGACCCAGAGGTTTTAGCCAACTATAGACCAATTTCTAACCTCCCCTTCCTCTCTAAGATTCTGGAGAAAGTAGTCGCCAAAGAGTTGTGTGAATTTCTACATAACAATAGTTTATTTGAGGATTTTCAGTCAGGATTTAGAGTTCATCATAGCACAGAGACAGCTCTGGTTAAAGTTAATAATGACCTTCTGACTGCTTCTGACAATGGACTTGTCTCTGTAATGTATTATTAGATCTTAGTGCTGCATTTCACACCATTGACCATAATATTCTTTTAGAGAGACTTGAGCATCAAATTGGCATTAAAGGAACCGCACTAAGCTGGTTTAAGTCATATTTATCAGATCGCTCGCAGTCTGTACATGTTAACGATGAATCTTCAATAAATACTACAGTTAGTCATGGAGTTCCACAAGGTTCTGTACTTGGACCAATACTATTTACTTTATATATGCTCCCTTTAGGCAACATTATTAGGAATCACTCCATTAACTTTCACTGTTATGCAGATGATACGCAGTTATATCTATCAATCAAGCCCAATGAAATTAATCAATTATCTAAATTACAAACATGTCTTAAGGACATAAAATCCTGGATGACCTGCAATTTTCTGATGTTAAACTCTTGTTCTTGGCCCCAAAAACCTTAGAGACTCACTGTCTAAAGATATAGTGACTCTAGATGGCATTAACTTGGCCTCTAGAACCACTGTCAGGAATCTTGGAGTTATCTTTGATCAGGATTTGTCATTTAACTCCCACATAAAGCAGACCTCTAGGACTGCCTTCTTTTATTTACGTAATATTAGAAAAATTAGACACATCCTATCACAGACAGATGCAGAAAAACTAATCCATGTATTTGTTACTTCAAGGCTGGATTACTGCAACTCTTTATTATCAGGTTGCCCCAATAAGTCCATTAAAACGCTCCAATTAATTCAGAACGCTGCAGCACGAGTACTGACAGGAACTAGAAAAAGAGATCACATCTCTCCTGTACTAGCTTCTCTGCATTGGCTCCCTGTAAAATGTAGAATTGAATTTAAAATCCTCCTCCTCCCCTATAAAGCTCTTCATGGTCAGGCCCCTTCATATCTTAAAGAGCTCATAGTACCCTATTACCCCTCTAGAACACTACGTTCTCTGAATGCTGGGCTACTTGTGGTTCCTATAGTCTCTAAAAGTAGAACAGGAGCCAGAGCCTTCAGTTACCAAGCTCCTCTCTTGTGGAACCAGCTTCCATTTGTGGTTCGGGAGGCAGACACCCTCACCACATTCAAGAGTAGGCTTAAGACATTCCTCTTTGATAAAGCTTATAGTTAGGGCTGGATCAGGTGAGTCCTGAACCATCCCTTAGTTATGCTGCTATAGGCCTAGACTATCGGGGGATTTCCCATGGTGCACTGAGCTCCTCCCTTCCTCTCTCTTTCTGCACTCATTCATGTTCCATTAATGCATGTTACTAACTTCACTTGTTCCCCGGAGTTCTTTTGCTTTCTCGTCTCGCAGGTTCTTGTCGATCCTGGTGGAGCCTCCTGCCATGGTCCTGCTAGATTGCCGTTGCCAATACTGTTGTTGCTGTGCACCTGTCTGTCTGTCTCTCGCTCTCTCTCTCTCTGCCTCTCTCTCTCTCTCTCTCTCTCTCTCTCTCACCCCAACTGGTCGAGACAGACGACCACCCACCTAGAGCCGTAGGATCTGTCCTAGGTTTCTGCCTTTTAACAGGCAGTTTTTCCTTGCCCTTGTCGCCAAGTGCTTGCTCATGGTGGTACTGTTGGGTCTCTGTAATTAATGTTAAAGAGTTCGGTCTAGACCTGCTCTATTTGAAAAGTGTCCTGAGATAACTTCTGTTATGAATTGGCGCTATACAAATAAATAAAATTGAAAATTGAAAGTCCGAAATCTAAAAATGGATCCTGATGAAACCGTGGTATTCTATGATGCGACTTTGTTCACCTGTATTCCAACTATGGAGGCTTTGGAAACAGTAAGGGAGCGTCTATTACAGTCAGTTCATGTTCCCTTGCCTAGTCAAGGGAACATGAACTGATGAAGCCTCTTCGATGAGAGGTGAAACGTCTTCAAAGACATAACCAAGTCCAGTTGCATTTGATTTAATTTCCTTAAGATAACTATGACCTGGATGAATGAGAACATTCACAGACAGGGTCTACAAGCATTACCAATAAGCAGAGCATGTATCCTGATGCCGTGAATATCATAGCAGGGGATTTTAATCATGCAGACTTTAAAGGTAGCACTCCCTAAATTCTACCAGCATGTTAAGTGTGTTAATGTTTGCATGCAAAAGTCCCTTAAGCACTTTCACAAAAAGTCTTAGGTAGGAGGAGGATGACACTTTAGCAGAAGAAGCACGACTACAAAATTATAAGGGACTAATACAGAGTTGGTGGGTCCATACAGAGATATTGGTCAGATCCAATATTGCAGTATAAACCCAACAACTCTATATTAATTCCTTTATCACAAGTGGATTATACAGACATGATGAGACGAGACATGAGATATTGGTCATATCCAACATCACAGTATAGACCCAACACATCTTTTTTAACAATATATTTATTGACATTTTCTTATATATACATATACACTTGTATGTATACACACAATTATATCAAATATGTAGACTTGTGCCTCATTAACAAAGGCACCTGCTGTGGTACAAGTGTTATAAACAAAACAAACAAATTGCAGACAAACAATACATACCACAAACATCATCTTCTCAGCTATAAACTATTAAGCTATATAACTTATTAACCAATAGCTTATAACTATAAGCTATAAGTCGAGACAGACGACCACCCACCTAGAGCCGGAGGATCTGTCCTAGGTTTCTGCCTTTTAACAGGCAGTTTTTCCTTGCCCTTGTCGCCAAGTGCTTGCTCATGGTGGTACTGTTGGGTCTCTGTAATTAATGTTTTAAAGAGTTCGGTCTAGACCTGCTCTATTTGAAAAGTGTCCTGAGATAACTTCTGTTATGAATTGGCGCTATACAAATAAAATTGAATTGAATTGAATTGAATTGGACAACTCGCTCTACCTTTTGAGTATGGTATGGCTTTTTTTTTTCCTAGGGACTGGTACGTCTAAATGCGTGTGTCTGTTGCGCTGAGAGTGGGCGCGTGCTAGTGTGCCTGTGTGTGCGTGTGAATCTGATCACTCTCACCCGCTGTTGTTAGGCAAACAAGAATGACAGATATCCGTCATCTGATTTGACAGTTGATACAAGAGGAATCCTATTTATGCTGCTATTTATGCCGGTGTCTGTGTCATCAGGTTGTGAATGAAGAATCGAGACAGGGATCGATTGCTTCTCACTGGTTACCCGGACGTGAGTCTCGTTCTTTCGACACTGAATTTTTTTAAGTTGAATTTTTTGACATTTAATATTTTGTTATGTTGAATTTCTGTTTATGTTTACATGTCGAATTTTGAAAAACTGAATTTTTTGAGACATTGATTTTTTTTACACTGAATTTATTTCAACATTGACAAAAAATCACAGGCAAAAAAATTCCAGTGCCAGAAATTTGATGGTTTTAAAATTCAAAGTCTGATTTTGATGCTGAAAAAATTCAATCTTAGAAATTCATATTCAAACACAGATGGCACAGAAAAACTTCCATAAGCTGGCATGGAGGTGAGGACAGGTCACCGGCCGAACGCGTCCTGTCACTCGAGTCTCACTCTTGTCATTTTCTGAAACTTGGCAGCCCTGCAGATATCCAACATGTCAGTATTTTTGGATTTTACCTGATTGCTGGTTGCTGCCACACCTCCACCCATGATTCCTCCTCAACTTTTGCTCTCTTCCTGTCCTTCACACACGGAGGATATGGGTCTGCTCTGATTGGCTGAAAAGTTAATGACTGCACTGATTGGCTGCTCCAGTGTGTCAGTCATGTGGATTTTCTGAACTGGCTTAAAGTTTCTGCATCATCCTACATTATGTTCTGCTAAATCTGCACTGGTTTTGAAAGATTTCCGCTCTTCTGCAGGTAAGAGTCAATTTATGGTTTATAGCCCACTTTCTATTTCCTTTTTCTGTTACATTGCTGTAACGCTGCACAATTACACCACACTTTTACTCTTTTTCTTGCTATAATGCTGTTCAGATGTGGATTTGTGGCCCACTTTGATCTCTTTTGTAGATAAAGTTTTACTTTAGTAATCTCTGAGCTATGATTGGCAGAGGTGGAGGTAAAAGTTCTGCAAGTGAATCTGTCCAGTTTGTCTGTATAGTAATAACTGAGGACCCACTTTTGCAGTAAAATATTAAAACTTGTAAAAAGTCTGATACAATGTGTCCTGCTATTAAGTAGCACACTACTGTAAATATTATAGAGCTGTGGCAATTATGAACCCAACTTACTGTAAAGCTGTCTCTCCATATTTAACATGGGTCAAATAGATCTCATTTGACATAATCAATAAAAAATGTATTGCATAATTTACAGAATATGCTTTAGAATATTTGTGTATTTATTACCACTCCCCTGGGATTTTGTGGACTTTTGGTGATTGTTGTAGCTTAAAATTTTTTGTGGATTTCTTTCAAAAAAATTTGTTGAAAGTTGTGATATTTGTAGGCATTATTTCCTTTACATCACAGGAGAAAGGGTATTTTAAAAAATCTCACATTCTTGTAATCAACACCATATGACATGAAAATTATATTGTGTATGTATGGGGTCTGGGGGCTAAGAGGATACCTTTGACTCTCTCAGCCAAACTGGTGTGAGGAGGTCTAATATGTTGCAACAGATCAGTTTTCCTGCACCATGTTTAACATGTATGTTCCCATATACAGTCCTGCCCTAACCATAACCCTTATGTTTTACAGTGAAACCCAGGATGTGCAACCTGAGGCCCACCAATCCAAGTATGTCATCATGCTTGTGCATCAACATTGCTGCCTCCCAGGATATTTCACAGAGTTATGGATTTTTGCCATGATGAAATTATGCGCTCTTACCCCAGAACAAGCTTATTCTCTAAAAATAACACCTGACAATGATCTCTATTATGGAACTAGAGATAGAAATGTGTCTCTTAACTGTCAGTTCACCCTTGATTCTGAGGATTTGGAAAATTTGGACATAGAGTGGAACATTGTGCCACCAATCAGGCAGGGAGATGAAAAACGTATACTCCGGTATAGTCAAAGTATCATTCATAATAATTTATATGCCCCTTTAAAGAACAGGATGCTTCTCTAAGCATCACTGACCTTAAGCTTACAGATTCTGGAACATACCAATGTAAGGTGAGAAAGTCAGCTAGAGAACAGATTAAAGACATTCTGGTTGTAATGGAGAGGCCAGACAAGCCGGTATGTTACATGGATGATGAAGCTGTGTTAGATACAAATATAAGGCTCAGATGCAAATCCTCACAAGGCACTCCACCACTTAAATACAGATGGAAAAAGCGAAGCGGAAACCGCTTTTGTTGATGTATGTAATATCACATCTCCATCAACAGTTATTGATGGACATGGACCTACAGCAGGAACTACAGCAGGAGCTATTGTTGCTGTGATTGTGCTCATCACTGTAACGCTCACCCCAGTCATTTACTACCGCTGCAGAAAAAGGCATGGAAGGTTAAGGAGGAATCCATGGGCTCAGACAAACTCATGCATCTATTGGCCCATAAGAATAGAACAGGTGAGGAAGATTCAACTAAAGAAATCTGCAATCTGTGTTTTGGTCTTTTGTGCCAACAGAATATTCTTTCATACTGCGCTCATCATTGCAGCTCAGGTGTGAGGAAGAAGAAAACCCGTATGAGGTAATGGAGCCTACCTACCCTGTGAGTAGCGGACATATTCATGTCTCTGTTTTATGATTAACTGCATGCTATTTAGGATGCTGTATATCACTGTAAACTCTGGAGTCATCTAGTCATTAAGGAGCAAAACCAGTAGTTAGTATACATTTCATAGTGTGGCAGCTGGAAACCTTTGAATGTAATTCTGTTGAATAACAGGACCAGCTCAGCATTTTAAATGTGAGTAAAACCCAACATCTATCTATCTGTCCCTTGAATTAAAAAAATCCCATGATTTGTCTCCAGGTGCTGTCCACCTCTGCAGAGGACAATGAGAAGAATGCATCTATTGAGGAGGGTCTGACAGCCTGTATTGAAGCCAAGGCGAGGAGTATTAAGCTTGGTTTAGTGATGTGTACAGACAGTATAGTTATTTTTTAGAGGATTTCTGTCCATGACCTCTAAATCACAAAATCTACTCTTTAGGATTTGTGCTCCTCACAGATAGAAAAATCAGAGGACAATGGATCCATGGGAAACAGAGATCAGGCTGATACTGAAGGACCGGTGAGTGGAAGTAAACTGGTTTAATTTTATGTGCATGAAATCAAGTCATACATGAACCAATATCTGTCTGTTCTCCATCTTAAGGAGCCACGTTCCTTGTACATAGAAGATGAGATGGATGTTGAAGGACAGGTGAGTGGAAGTAAACTGGTTTAATTTTGTGTGCATGAAATCAAGTCATACATGAACCAATATCTGTCTGTTCTCCATCTTAAGGAGCCACATTCCTTGCACACAGAAGATGAGATTGATGTTGTAGGACAGGTGAGTGGAAGTAAACTGGATTAATTTTGTGTGCATGAAATCAAGTCATACATGAACCAATATCTGTCTGTTCTCCATCTTAAGGAGCCACATTCCTTGCACACAGAAGATGAGATTGATGTTGAAGGACAGGTGAGTGGAAGTAAACTGGATTAATTTGGTGTGCATGAAATCAAGTCATACATGAACCAATATCTGTCTGTCCCCCATCTTAAGGAGCCATGTTCCTTGCACACAGAAAATGAGAAAAATGCATCCCACGTGGAGGTCACGACAGCATTGTGAAACAAAGGTGAGCAGTATGACGAATGTTTTAGTGCTGTTTACTACATTACAGATATGTTGGAAAACCACATCCTTTTGCATCCTTTCAGGAGCCATGTTCTTCAGAGGAAGAAAGGTCCAAGGATGAAGAATCCCTTAAAGTTCTGTATTCAAGGATAACATAAATATTAGACAGGTTTATATGTGAAAATTTACCTCAACACAGTTCAGATTAGGTCACAAAGGAGAACAGGATGCCCAGGAGCCACATCCATGAGGACACAGTGAAGTTCCTAAATATGTTTTTGATAATTTCATGTTTGTTCAGTTTGTCTCAGCCTCTTTACTCAAACTTATGTGAAATGTGTGGACCTGGCCCTCATTGATTAAAGAGGAGGAAAGGACATCCAAGTGCCACGTTGTTGAGAACAAAATAAACGTTCTTGAATACATAAAAGTTTTTGAGAAAGAATTCATGTTTGTTTAAAGTCTTTGAAAGGGCTTCAAAGGTAAAAGTTGGGTGTTTTAGCCTTTAGATACTGAGAAAGTGGTCTTCAACAATCTCATGAATGTTGGAGTCATACTTAAGTTACTTCCTGTTGTGTGAAACAAAGGTGTCATGACTGTATCTCCATACACCCATATTTGTATGTATAAGTATGACTCCAGCATTCATGAGAATAATGAAGACCACTTTCCCAGTATCTAAAGGCTAAAACACCCAACTTGTACCTTTGAAACCGTTTATTAAAAATGCAAAGTTGGCTACAGAATGACTGAGACCTGTTTGGCCAGATATGGGTGTATGGAGATACAGTCATGACACCTTTGTTTCACACAACAGGAAGTAACGTAAGTATGACTCCACCATTCATTAGATTATTGAAGACCACTTTCTCAGTATCTAAAGGCTAAAACACCCAACTTGTACCTTTGAGACCCTTTATTAAAAATGCAAAGTTGGCTAGAGAATGACTGAGACCTGTTTGGCCAAATATGGGTGTATGGAGATACAGTCATAACCCTGTTGTCTCACACAAAAGGAAACTTAAGTATGACTCCAGCATTCATGAGATTATTGAAGACCCCTTTCTCGGTATCTAAAGGCTAAAGCACCCAACTTGTACCTTTGAGACCCTTTAATAAAAATGCAAAGTTGGCTACAGAATGACTGAGACCTGTTTGGTCTCAGTCATTCTGTCATGACTGTATCTCCATATGGGTGTATGGAGATACAGTCATGAAACCTTTGTTTCACACAACAGGAAGTAACTTAAGTATGACTCCAGAATTCATGAGATTATTGAAGACCACTTTCTCGTTATCTAAAGGCTAAAACACCCAACTTGTACCTTTGAGATCCTTTATTAAAAATGCAAAGTTGGCTACAGAATGACAGGTACCTGTTTGGCCAAATTTGGGTGTATGGAGATACACTCATGACCCCTTTGCCTCATACAAAAGGAAACTTAAGTATGACTCCAGAATTCATGAGATTATTGAAGACCACTTTCTGGGTACCTAAAGGCTAAAACACCCAACTTGTAACTTTGAGACCCTTTATTAAAAATGCAAAGTTGGCTACAGAATGACTGAGACCTGTTTGGCCAAATATGGGTGTATGGAGATACAGTCATGACCCCGTTATCTCATACAACAGGAAACTTAAGTATGACTCCACCATTCATGAGATTATTGAAGACCACTTTCTCGGTATCTAAAGGCTAAAACACCCAACTTGTACCTTTGAGACCCTTTATTAAAAAGGCAAAGTTGGCTAAAGAATGACTGAGACCTGTTTGGCCAGATATGGGTGTATGGAGATACAGTCATGAACCTGTTGTCTCATACAACAGGAAACGTAAGTATGACTCCAGCATTCATGAGATTATTGAAGACCACTTTCTCGGTTTCTTATGGCTAAAACACCCAACTTGTACCTTTGAGACCCTTTATTGAAAATGCAAAGTTGGCTACAGAGTGACTGAGAACTGTTTGGCCAAATATGGGTGTATGGAGATATAGTCATTAAATTCAATTCAATTCAATTCAATTCAATTTTATTTGTACAGCGCCAATTCATAACAGAAGTTATCTCAAGACACTTTTCAAAAAGAGCAGGTCTAGACCGAACTCTTTAAAACATTAATTACAGAGACCCAACAGTACCACCATGAGCAAGCACTTGGCAACAAGGGCAAGGAAAAACTGCCTGTTAAAAGGCAGAAACCTAGGACAGATCCTCTGGCTCTAGATGGGTGGTCGTCTGTCTCGACCAGTTGGGGTGAGAGAGAGAGAGAGAGAGAGGCACAGAGAGAGAGAGCGAGAGACAGACAGACAGGTGCACAGCAACAACATTATTGGCAATGGCAATCTAGCAGGACCATGGCAGGAGGCTCCACCAGGTTCGACAAGAACCTGCGAGACGAGAAAGCACAAGAACTCCGGGGAAGAAGTGAAGTTAGTAACATGCATTAATTGAACATGAATGAGTGCAGAAAGAGAGAGGAAGGGGGAGGCTCATGACCCCTTGGTTTCACACAACAGGAAGTAACTTAAGTATGACTCCAGCATTCATGAGATTATTGAAGACCACTTTCTCGGTATCTAAAGGCTAAAACACTCAACTTGTACCTTTGATACCGTTTATTAAAAATGCAAAGTTGGCTAAAGAATGAGTGAGACCTGTTTGGCCAAATATGGGTGTATGGAGATACAGTCATGACCCCGTTGTCTCACACAACAGGAAACGTAAGTATGACTCCACCATTCATGAGATTATTGAAGACCACTTTCTCTGTATGTAAAGGCTAAAACAACCCAATTTGTACCTTTGAGACCCTTTATTAAAAATGCAAAGTTGGCTACAGAATGACAGAGACCTGTTTGGCCAAATATGGGTGTATGGAGATACCGTCATGACCCCTTTGCCTCATACAACAGGAAACTTAAGTATGACTCCAGAATTCATGAGATTATTGAAGACTACTTTCTGGGTACCTAAAGGCTAAAACACCCAACTTGTAACTTTGAGACCCTTTATCAAAAATGCAAAGTTGGCTACAGAATGACTGAGACCTGTTTGGCAAAATATGGGTGTATGGAGTTACAGTCATGACCCCTTTATCTCATACAACAGGAAACGTAAGTATGACTCCAGCATTCATGAGATTATTGAAGACCACTTTCTCGGTATCTAAAGGCTAAAACACCCAACTTGTACCTTTGAGATCCTTTATTAAAAATGCAAAGTTGGCTACAGAATGACAGACACCTGTTTGGCCAAATTTGGGTGTATGGAGATACACTCATGACCCCTTTGCCTCATACAAAAGGAAACTTAAGTATGACTCCAGAATTCATGAGATTATTGAAGACCACTTTCTGGGTACCTAAAGGCTAAAACACCCAACTTGTAACTTTGAGACCCTTTATTAAAAATGCAAAGTTGGCTACAGAATGACTGAGACCTGTTTGGCCAAATATGGGTGTATGGAGATACAGTCATGACCCCTTTGTCTCATACAACAGGAAACGTATTAAATAAAAGCAAAAAATAAAAAAAAACTAAGGGTTAGAGTACAGCATGACCCCTTTATCTCATACAACAGGAAACTAAGTATGACTCCAGCATTCATGAGATTATTGAAGACCACTTTCTGGTACTAAAGGCTAAAACACCCAACTGTACCTTGAGACCCTTTATTAAAAATGCAAAGTTGGCTACAGAATGACGAACCTGTTTGGCCAAATTGGGTGTATGGAGATACATCAGACCCCTTGCCTCAACAAAGGAAACTTAAGTATGACTCCACATTCATGAGATTATTGAAGACCACTTTCTGGTACCTAAAGGCTAAAAACCCAACTTGTACCTTGAGACCCTTTATTAAAAATCAAAGTTGGCTACAGAATGACTGAGACCTGTTTGGCCAAATATGGGTGTATGGGATACAGTCATGACCCCTTGTCTCACACAACAGGAAACGAAGTATGACTCCACCATTCATGAGATTATTGAAGACCACTTTCTCGGTATCTAAAGGCTAAAACACCCAACTTGTACCTTTGAGACCCTTTATTAAAAATGTAAAGTTGGCTACAGAATGACTGAGACCTGTTTGGCCAAATATGGGTGTATGGAGATACAGTCATGACCCCGTTGTCTCATACAACAGGGAACCTAAGTATGACTCCACCATTCATGAGATTATTGAAAACCACTTTCTTGGTATCTAAAGACTAAAGAACCAAACTCTTACCTTTGAGACGCTTTATTAAAAATGCAAAGTTGGCTACAGAATGTCTGAGACCTGTTTGGCCAAATATGGGTGTATGGGGATACAATCATGACACCTTGGTTTCACACAACGGGAAGTAACTTAAGTATGACTCCAGCACTCATGAGATTATTGAAGACCACTTTCTCGGTATCTAAAGGCTAAAACACTCAACTTGTACCTTTGATACCGTTTATTAAAAATGCAAAGTTGGCTAAAGAATGAGTGAGACCTATTTGGCCAAATATGGGTGTATGGAGATACAGTCATGACCCCGTTGTCTCACACAACAGGAAACGTAAGTATGACTCCACCATTCATGAGATTATTGAAGACCACTTTCTCTGTATGTAAAGGCTAAAAAACCCAATTTGTACCTTTGAGACCCTTTATTAAAAATGCAAAGTTGGCTACAGAATGACAGACACCTGTTTGGCCAAATATGGGTGTATTGAGATACCGTCATGACCCCTTTGCCTCATACAAAAGGAAACTTAAGTATGACTCCAGAATTCATGAGATTATTGAAGACTACTTTCTGGGTACCTAAAGGCTAAAACACCCAACTTGTAACTTTGAGACCCTTTATCAAAAATGCAAAGTTGGCTACAGAATGACTGAGACCTGTTTGGCAAAATATGGGTGTATGGAGTTACAGTCATGACCCCTTTATCTCATACAACAGGAAACGTAAGTATGACTCCAGCATTCATGAGATTATTGAAGACCACTTTCTCGGTATCTAAAGGCTAAAACACCCAACTTGTACCTTTGAGATCCTTTATTAAAAATGCAAAGTTGGCTACAGAATGACAGACACCTGTTTGACCAAATTTGGGTGTATGGAGATACACTCATGACCCCTTTTCCTCACACAACAGGAAGGTTAAGTATGACTCCACCATTCATTAGATTATTGAAGACCACTTTATTGGTATGTAAAGGCTAAAACACCCAACTTGTACCTTTGAGACACTTTATTAAAAAGGCAAAGTTGGCTAAAGAATGACTGAGACCTGTTTGGCCAAATATGGGTGTATGGAGATACAGTCATGACCCCGTTGTCTCATACAACAGGGAACCTAAGTATGACTCCACCATTCATGAGATTATTGAAAACCACTTTCTTGGTATCTAAAGAC